TGTGGAGTCATCTATTTGGGTTTTCAACTCTTTTAAAGTCTGATTTATGTATTTTGGGGCTCTTTCATTGGGTCCATAGATATTTATTATGGTTAGGTTAATTCTTAGGTTCTACCACCACTTGGCAATATCCAAGCTGTCTGTGCATCAGGATCACTGCCAGACCACAGCTCTGTATGTTTCCTTTTTTGGTATTTTCATGGAAATTCTTCTGCTAGTTGGAGTTTAGTCCACTTCTGTATCCTTCCCTTCAGGGCTCAGGGTCCAGGATTATCTTCTGTATCTGTGTTAATTGGTTACCCTTCTCTTTGTTGAAGAGGGTCTGTGCAGTCTTTCTGTCTATTCCACCATCTTTCTGGAACTTCCAGAAAGTTATTTTTTAAAAATGTAATACCAATTTGCAGAATTAAGGAAATGCATGAAGGGTGATTCTTATGCATGTGATCCTAGTATGTAAATGTGAAGAGATGAAAGTCCAATTATGTATTGGAGCTTTTATGATTTCCGTACAAAAAATATCAATGAGATAACATCACAGAAGCAGAAACTTTCTCTCAGTTTAAATGAAGAATAAGTGATATCTCATTACATAGTATGTAATGTATCATTTTGCCAAAGATACTAGTAAAAATATTTCTCAAAGACATCTCTAAATCTATGAAAAGAGAAAGTACTTTTTCATCTGTGGCTTAATGCCATAAAATACAAAGGAAATTGCAAAGAAATAGTCACAGTATTGTAAATTTTAAATATCTCTGTATTTTAACATATCTCCCACTGTAATATAATTATATTTTACATGCCAGTCTGCTGGATAATAGTTCTTCACTCCTGTGCATAATAGTCAGGACAATATTTTACATTTATAATAATTTTTTTCTGTCTTCTTTTCAGTCCTTTATATCCTCTCTTTTCCATACATAACCTACACTTTTGCAAAACTCCATCAGACTAACTCTGAATGAGGACAGGATTAAACTCAACACATGATTTTGTCTTTTTCCTTAGCTTATTAAGCTTGCTAATTGTTGATATATATTTGGTGTATAAGTATTTTAATTTTATGTTCATTTGAGATTTTTTTTTGCTTAACATTGTGAACTTTATAATAAAATTATATGAAGTTATTTTATTATTTTTGTTTTCAATATATAATATTTTATTCATTTTAATTATGACTCACATCTATTCACTTTCTATTTTTGTCACACTAATGTTATAAGCAAGTATTTTTGTGTTTAATGTGAATGTAGAAAAATTTTAATTGTCTTAGGAAAATTTAATTGTCTGGGAGAATATTAATTGTTCCTGCTTTTACAAAATAAGTGTCTATGATTTTTTTTTTTTTTAATTAAGTTACAGAGAAAACTCAAACTATGTTGGTGCGACATTAAAAGGAAAGGTGTGTGACAGAGAAAATGCAGGAGTTGTTGCTCTGGTAGGTAAAGTTAAGGTTAACTTTGCTAAAAAGAATATCTAGCTTAGCTATTCTGAGAAATATACAGGGAAAAATGATCCTTCTTTTTATTTTATCATACCATCCATTACAATACAGTCAATTCTGACTTATAGTGGCCCTACATAAGAGTAGAACTGGCTCGTAGGGTTTCCAAGGCTGTGATATTCATGGAAGCAGACAATTTTATCTAAGCATATTAATATTTACATATTTTAGAAATCTCAATCATTGATACTAATCAAACTGCTTGCAATAAAAATGGTCCTTTCAACCAGGAGTTAAGGACATTTTAATCTTTTTATTCTAATTCTTTTAAAAAATGTATTTAATGATTTTAATATATTTCAATTTTGTTATAATTTATTTGTCAATTTTCATAAATTTATATTTTGACCTTTGGAAATTTCAATTCAAAAGTATATATTTTGTACATTTTCTTACTTATATCTCTGCTGTCATCTGAAAACCTGATATTTATAAATATTCCAAATTAAACATCCATTGTCATTTATGCTTCACTGCACATAGGTCAAGAAAGGAGAGAATTGAGTGGCAAATCTCAAGGTGTGGGACACTAATTGACACTATTTAACTTAAATAGATAATGTTGACTTATTCAAGCTTCACGTTTGTTTAGAATTTAGTCATAATACTGTGATGATTCTAATAATTAAAACTTGCTTTTTAATTCTATTTGGTGGTGTACAATACCTTTTGGAATTGGAGGGAAGTATGTATAACACCTTTGTCCATAAGATATGAACCACCTGAAGATATAAGTGGGAGCTCTGGTGGTGTAGTGCCTAAGGCATTTGACTTCTAACCAGAAGTCTGGTGGTTCAAACCCACCAGCCACTCCTCAAGAGGAAGATTTGGCAATCTACTTCTTCCATAGAGATACTGCCTCTGAAATCCAAGGACGAGTTGCTATGAGTCAGGTCTGACTCAATGGCAGTGTATGTGAGTGAAGATATAAGGAGAGTAATCAATTGGATAGTGAACATATTGTTTTGTCTTATTCATAAAATATATTTTGAAAACATCTGAGGGCAAATAATTTTTACTAATCTGGAGAATTGGAATCAGATTTCCATACCCACCTGGTCACATGCAGCAGTACTAAGCCACAGAACTTTCCCACAGGCTGGGCCTTCATGGTTTCATGGTAATGACAGCAGAACCCAAGCAGGCAGATTGTCTATTAAGAAGAGAATGCACTCAAACTGAATAGCCTGTGCCTAGTTCCTTTTCACACACACACACACACACACACACAAAATTGAATCAGAATTCTTTCTTATACTTTTTGGGTGAAGTGATGACAGAGTTAGGTCAAGAGACTTAGGTCATTGAAATCCTTTCCCAACATTTAAAAAATAATTTTACTCAATTAAGTGATAATTTACTGAGTGCTTATTTTACATAGCAGTAATCTGAGATTTGAAGCAGCTTGTGGAAAATAAATAAAATAGTATTGAAAGGCTATTGCAGCCACCATCCGTCAGTGGAGGCTTGCATGTGGCTATGGTGCTCAACAAGTTTCAGCAGAGCTTCCAGGCTAAGATGAACTAGGGAAAAAGCCCTAGTGATCTACTTCTCAAAATCAAACATATAGACCACAACTGATCATGAGGATGACACAGGACTGGGTAGCATTTTGTTCCATTGTAAAGGGGTTTGCCTGTTGTTGTTAAGTGCCATTGAGTCAGCTCTGACTCACAGTGACCCTATGTACAACAGAATAAAACACCTGGTTTTGTGCCATCCTCAGAATTCTTGCTATGCTTGACCTCATCATTGTAGCCACTGCCACCCTCTCTCGATCTTGGGACTTTTAATGGACTTGAATTAATGGTCTACCACGTGGTTTAGTAATCGGGACTGTGCCTTGTTACTTGTTGACAGCAGGTTTGTCAGCCTCAGCAGCCAGGATTTGAGTGAAGAGCCTCCAGCTTCAGTGGTCCAGGAGCAAGAGGCAGAGCTGAAGCCCAATGCTAAGGGGTTTTCACTCAACCCCTAGAGGCTGGCACTTTGAACTTGGACTTAAAGCCTCCAAATTTTAAGAATAAATTCCTGTTTGTTAAGGCCATTCCATTTGTGATATATTCAGAGTAGCACTAGGTAGCCAGAACAATATACTTTTCCAGGAATTGTCCCTTTTGACAGCAAGACCAAAGTAGGTGAGACAAGGTCTGGCCATTCTCGCTTCCAAGGAGCATTGCAGCTGCACTTCTAAGAAAGATTTGTTCATTCTTCTGGCAGTCCACAGTATTTTCAGTGTTTTTTGCCAACACTACAATTCAAAAGCATCAACTCTTTTGCAACTTTCATTATTATTGTCCAGCTTTCATGTGCATATAAAGCGATTGAAAATATGGCTGGGGTTAGGCACACCTTAGTCTTCAAAGTGAAATCTTTGCTTTTCAACATTTTAAAGAGGTCTTTTGCAACAGATTTTCCCAATACAATACAATGTCTGATTTCCTGACTGCTGCTTCTGTGGGTATTGATTGTGGATCCAGGTAAAATAAAATCCCTGACAATTTCAATATTTTCTCCATTTCTCATGATATTGCTTATGGGTCCAGTTGTAAGGATTTTTGTTTACTTTATGTTGAGGTGTAATCCACACAGAAGACTGTAGTCTTTGATCTTCATCAGTAAATGCTTCAAGTCGTCTTCAGTTTCAGCATACAAGGTTGTGTCAACTGCGTGTCACAGATTGTTGATGGTTCTTCCTCTAATCCTAATGCCATGTTCTTCTTCATGTAGTCCAGCTTCTCAGATTATTTGCTCAGCATACAGATTGAATAAGTATGGGGAAAGGATATGACCCTAATGTACAACCTTCGTGATGTTAAACCACGCAGTATCACTTTGTTCTGTTCGAATGACAGCTTCATGGTCTATTTACAGGTTCCCCATGAGAAAAATTAAGTGTTTTTAATCCCTATTCTTTGCAATGTTATGATCCACACAGTCTAATGCCTTGGCATAGTCAATAAAAGACAGGTAGACATCTTTCTGTTATTCTGTGCTTTCAGCCAAGATCCAGCTGACATCAGCAACGGTATCCCTCATTGCACATCCTCTTCTGAATTCAGGTTTACTTTCTGAAAGTTCCCTGTCAATATACTGCTACAACCATTTTAAAATTATTTTCATCAAGATTTTACTTGTATATAATATTAATGATATTGTTCAATAATTTCCATATTCTGTTGGATCACCTTTCTTTGGAACGGGTACAAATATCGATCTTTTCCAGTCAGTTGGCCAGATAGCTGTCTTCCACATTTCTTGGCATAAATAAGTGCCTACAGTACTACAACAGTTTGTTGAGACATCTCAGTGGGTTTTCCACCAATTTCTGGAGCCTTGTTTTTTTGCCAGTTCCTTCAGTACAGCTTGGATTTATTCCTTCAACACTACTGGTTCTTGATCATATTTTACCTCCTGTAATATTTGGACAACATGTTCTTTTTGTACAGTGACTCTGTGTATTCTTTCCATCTTCTTTTGATACATTCTTCATTGTTCAATATTTTGCCCACAGAATTCTTTAATATTGCAACTCAGGGCTTGATTTTTTTCATTAGTTTTTTCAGCTTGAGAAATACCAAACATATTTGGGTTTACTAACTCCCGGGCATTGCATATTTTATTATAATATTTTACTTTGTCTTATCCAGCTAGACTTTTAAAT